AGGCTTTGCTTCCTTAGGAAACCAGGCTGGAAATCTGCTTGTGTCAAGTGGAGTCGGATCTGTGTCTTGGAGAGGTGAGACTTTGACTTCAGCCTGTGCAGCCTTTAGCCTGACTTTTGTAAATCCAGTCAGTGCCTGGAGCAGAGGTAGCTGGGCTTCCACCTTCGTTCTGGCTCCTGGGGGTGGTGGTGACTTCTCTATGTTGCTTTTGCAGCTGTTAGCAGGTTGCAGGTGAGAACATCCAAGTATGCTGGGTTTCTTCCAGATGTTAAATTCCTTTTACCAAGAGAAATTGATATTACTGGGTACAGAACAGTCCTTTTAAAACTTTGCCTGTTAATTCCTTGTTCATGCAAAATACTAGAGATGTAAGGAGAGAAATCCCTTGAAACAAAGACAGTCATGAAGAGAGAGTCCCAAGAGATGTTTCATATTAGAATTTTTTTTGCCCCAGCACAGGGAGCTAAAAAAACCCATCCCTTAAAAAAAAAACCACCGAAACAAACCAGCAAAAAAACCCCAACAAAACCCCAAACAAGCAAAAAAACACTGATGGATAGATTCCTGTGTTGTATTTGAACAGAATGGCACTGTTGTGTCAGACATGGTTTTTGCTATTGCTATGGTCGTTGGTGTGGCCTGCTCCAGGGCAAAGTGGAGCCATGCAGAAACTTACACATTTTCTTTACTTGCTAGTAATTGGCCCCTACCTAGTGTTTTTGATCTTCAAAGCTCTTTTCAAATGCTAAGTAATTTTTGCAGCAAGAAGTATGCCTGCTTTTGTAGATGGGGAAAACTGATTTTGATAGTGTGACTTGCCCAAGGCTACAGGATTAAGTCTTATTTTGGGATAGTGTTAACTTTGGCGGCGCTTGGTGGCTGGTTCTGGGCTTAGTAGGAAGTGTTTTGGGCTTCTCTTACCTGTGTTGTACTGATGATAAACTCGAGGACAAGACCTTGCTGCCAGGGCTCTCACCAGTAACAAGGGTCAGAAGTGAGTCTGAAGTCTAGAGCACATGGTTAAAAAGTATGGAACTGCAGATGTGTTTTTTTTTTCCAAGAAGTATTAGGACGCACTAAGTTCTTGGAGTAAGCTGTTGGGTCAAGAAGAGAGCTTGGTGCTGTCACTGGGCTGAAGTAGAGCAGAACTCATCTTCTGCTAGTGGGACATGCACGTTATGGGAATACCCTGTGGGTAGGAAAGGCTTTGCTGAGAGCTTTTGTCTTACTAGTCAGCGGATAATCTAGATGCAACACTTGGATGCCAAGCTCTGATTCTTCTGCAGAACTGCTCATTGAATTTGTACCACTGAGTGCAGCTGACCCACTGAGATTTGGTGGCCTTTCATAATAGGCAGAAAGCTGTTTTTCATCAGAGACATGTAGTCAGCTAATTTCTGTGGTGGTTGCCTCTGTGAGAGCCCTGTTATGTTAGCTAAGGAGCTCCTGGTGGTCTTTGGTACCTTTGAGCTACAGCAGTGCTATTTCTTCTGTATGTCAAAGGAAACTGAGGCACAGAGTGCCTGGGTAGGAGCTGTGTTGCTGACACATGAATAAAGGGGTGGCGAGTGGGATGGAAATGTACCACAGATGGCTGCTAATCCTATCACAGCAATCTGAGGTGTGACACAGTGATATGTGATTCATTGCAGTTGCTTTTGGAGTTTGCCCTGAGCTTTCTGGTTTGGGTGTCTGTGGCTCAAACAGTTAATTCGATTTTGCTTTTTCTTAAGGTGGGTCTAGCTGCTGCCTCCTTCTCACGGTTTTTGCCTGTGTCCTGATGCTCCTGTGTGCTGTTCCAGCTCTCTTTGGCCACCGGCTTTCTTCTTGGATGCCTCTTGCAGTTGCATCTCCAGCGGCTTTGGCTCTAGTGAATAATCCCAGCCAACTTTAGTGGTTTATACTGTGCTACGTTTCTCCCCTTAACATTGGTGGATCTCACATGTGGGCTGTGACTTTCTCATTGGGATGTGGTGGCCTAACTGTTGCCTTGAGTGCTGGTCTGTCCTTCCTTTTGGGTCACATCCCTCTCCTCGCTGTAAGGTCTTTTGAAGGACAGCTCACCATGCTACTTCCATCCCTGCTCTACCCTGCCTGTGACTGATCTGGGGCTGTGGCACAAATGCTGCGGGACACTGGTGCTTGGCAGTTGGGTTGGATCTGGGAACCAGTTGCCTTCAGGCTACCCAGGATTTATGTGCCCTGGCGGAGGACCTTTTGGTGAAAGATGAAAGGCTGGCAGGTGAAGTGGAGGTCCCCTGATTCACATAATCTGCCTTACTGTAAAATGTCAGCAGAGGTTTATCAGTATTGATTGTCCCTCTGGTGCTGTATTCTTACTTTATCATGCAAATAGAGCTGGGTAGGCTGACATTTCACTGAACTTGCATCGTCTTATTTAATGGAAAAGTTGCTATTTAGAGCATCAAAAGAAATTGCTTGTAAAGAATATGGTAATATCACTTTGGTTTTTTAATGTAATAATTGGAGATAATTTGAAGCATTATTTGAGCAAGGGAAATGGGCTCTGAAATCATACATGAAGCTAGAATAAAAGGCAAGCTGCTGTCTATTCCATCCGAACATCTCTGAGCACCTCTCTGAAAGCTGCTGAATTAAACAGCAAGCCTTTGACTGAATAGTGTAATTCACAACTCTTGTATAGGGAGGTAATGTATTGACCTACCCAATTACTATTATCAGGCTAGATGATAGTCAAAGGAGTCCCTTTGTATTCGGGTGCTCTTGTAGAGCTGAGCAGGGCCCCAATGTTCATTCTGAGAACCTGTTACACCATCGTTCCCTTCTGCAATAACCTGCTACCAGGTTGTAGCCCTGGCTGAAAATACCACATCCATAAGATTTTAATGTGTGATTGTAGTAAGGTGATTGTGGCTCTTCACTCAGCAACTTCTTGGTGAGGTCTGAGAGATCAGTTAGTTACTTGAGTGACCTCATATCTGACTGTCCTGATGGTGATTAAACAAGTCATCACTTCAGGGAACTGGAGGGATTTTGTAATGGACACATACACTTCTTGTTGGCATTTGATGTGTCCAACTTGAAAACATGAGGCATGAGTGACTACTTCATCTTAATTTGTCTGTAGCATCTTAAAAAGCTCTGAGAGGTGAAAACACTGGACTGTTACACATGAGAGTGTGTGCTAATAGGCTTGAACTCTTACAGTGCTTCTTTTCCCTGAAGCCATTGGCACTATGTTAGTATTAGTGGAGAAATGCTGCTGCAACCAATAAACTGAGTTTCCCAAGCAGGCTCTTGTTTTCCAAAGTGTGGTGTCCTGGTTGAGGTGAGCCAGTACAGGAAACAGGTCCTGCACAGCTCGTGATCTTGAAGGGAAGCAGGTTCTCTTGGCTTCCCAAGGCATGACCAAGAGAAGGATAAGAAATCTAATGCTGCTTTACATCATGAACAGGATATGACACTTGCTTGAATCATATAAATGTGCCCGGAGGCATACTGGTACATCAGTGCACGTGTGTTCTTTTGCCTTTTACTATTTTATTTGCCTTTTACAATTTTTCAAGGAGGTAGTAGATTATAAAGGATGTATGTATGAGGGCAGAGGGATTTCAACTTGATCTAAAACTGTTTCACGCTCTGTGGTATCTTCTGCATGTGTTGCAGTATGCTGAAACAGATGGCATGTGGCACTCACTTTATTTTTCTTTGCATTCAGGTTCACTTCCCTGATGTTGAACGAGTGGAGTGGCTGAACAAGGTGAGGAGCTCTGAACTCCAGTTTGTGAGGCCATGTGCTCTGAGCTGCATCATAGCACAAACTCTGCAGGCCAAGTCTGAGGAAGTTATCAAGTCTCTACAATACAGCTCAATCATATCAGTGTCTGTACTTAAGTCGTGGAGCCACTTAGGTATAGAGTTGCCACTGAGGTTTTGCTGAGAGCCAAATGTGTGCCTGGTTGATACAGGTTTGGTGAATTTGACCACAATACCTCATTCTGAGATTAAAAAAAAAAAAAAGCAAGTGCGTGTGTATGTGTGTATGTATAGAGATGTGTATATACATATGTGTGTATGTATTATTATTATTTTAGCAAAAGTAGTGGCATCTCCTCTTACCAGAGGGGTTTCCAGAGAGCTCTGAGGCAGGCGTTCCCATCAGCAGGTGTAGTCAAGCTCCCGCTGGAACTGGACTCTGTGGAATTCAAAGCAACACAGCTGAAGTTGCAAAATAGCATCCAGTAGCTATCCTGTTTTTCTTTTTAGCAGACTTTCTTTTTGATGAAAAAGCTCATCTCACTCCTCTCTAAATAAACCAAACTCCAGGGAACTTTGTGATACTTTAGAGTAATTAGGGACTATTGTGCTTTAGAGACTTTAACCTTGGGCTTTGCTGGCTCAGCCCTTGTGGTTAGAAGCAGTCAATAGACTCTATGGTGCTGAAAACTCACCCTTCAGTTCCTAAACCAAATTCCTTTTCTGAGGAACTGAGATGGATCCTTCCATAAGGATGACTTAAGAGCACAAATGTGACTTGGTATTTTAAAAGGACAGATATTAATAGCCAGATGTTCTGTAATGTGTGTGTCTGTTTCTCAACAAAAGGTATCTTATACAAAGAGTCTTCAGTGTGTTCCTGCTTTTGCTATTCTTTAGGTCCTTGTACAGGCTTGGCCATACTTTGGAACAATCATGGAAAAAACATTTAAAGAAGTTCTTGAACCAAAAATCAGAGCAAAGAATGTACATCTGAAAACATGCACCTTTACCAAGATCCACTTTGGCGAGAAGGTAGTGTGAATCCTCTGCAACGCTTGAAGTTCAGTCTTTTCTGAAAAGTTCAGATGCGGGGGGAGTCTGATGTTCAGTTCTTTAATAGCTCTGGGTGTTTAACAAAATGGTATTGGTACAACACCTCCTTTGTCCCCTCCTCATGTTGACGTGAGCGTCTTCACCGTGAAGGAAAGATCATATAGGAGACACACACATCCATTCCCACCGGCTGTCAGTATCATGGGACTGGAGATAGAAAAAGGGGCACATATCCACATTTCTTTCTGTTATACCCTGCAAGAGGAGTTTTCAGTGCTTCCTAAGGCTTGTAGCATGGGCTACTTGCCACCAGCTCTGTATCTGAGGGCTGCCAAGGCTGTTCACATTACCTCTTTAAGGGAAAAACTTGTGTGGTTTACTCATACTTTACATGCTGTTGTGCAAAGTCTTTAATGAATGCTTCTGTACTCAAATTGATTGAAGTGAGTAGGACTTTTCACTTGGGCTTAACTTGAAAGATATTAACTATGTTGTATCTTGTTTGTCTTTATTTCAGTGCCCTAGAATTAATGGAATAAAAGCCTACACCAAAGAAATCGACAGAAGACAAGTTATCCTAGACCTGCAGATATGGTAACATTGCATCATTGATTATGTAGATGGTTCTTAACTCGCTGCCCGTTTGACACCTATGTGTGAGTTGTCATGCTGGACTGGACATGCGCTCCACTAAGATCAGCATGAAGTGGAGAGCTCCTGATCTTATATCAACCTAGAATGATGTGAGATAATCAGTCCCCCAGCCGGATGTCCTCAATACTTACAGAAGTGAGGTGTTGTGCATCAGCCTTTAAGTCAGAAAGCAGTGTCACCTGCAGAGGTGTTACTGACTCTGGCCCATCACTGCTGCCATGGGTATAAGAATGTGTCCCTTGGCTTTGCCATTCATGGCAGTAAGAACCCAAATTTTGGAACTGTATTTCCTGTTCTGACAGCTCTGACAGCTCTCGGGCATGGAGGCGCTTGGTCTGTCTTGCCCCACTATGGTTCCTCTTCAGTCCAACCTCTCCAGTTCTTCCAGAACTACTTGTGTTATTTATTTTTTAATTCCTTCCCCTAGATTAATCCTCTTGTTTTACTCACCATTTGTTCCATGTGCCACCCAACACATTTGCTTTTTTTTATTATAGCTGTTCTCTGAGCAGAAGACTGCCTCTAGCTGTATTAACAACAACAACAACATTAGATAAAACATTTGATACCTCCCAGGCTGTTTTGAATGAGTTTGTGTGTTTTGTTAACATCAGAGCCGCTGCAGAGCTAAACTCTCTCCTGGTTTAGCCTGGAGAATGGAATTACTGGGGGAATTACCACTTGCATACTGCTGTAGCTCTGTAAGTTTAGTGGGCGATTGAGCTGCCTAATTTAAATGGCTTTTCTTCATGGTAGTGCCAGGAAAAAGCAGTGTGAAATTATGGAGTGTCTTGGCAACAGCACAGAGCTGCTCAGAACTGTGCCTGTTGCTTAACGTGGCAATGGCATGGCAGCATCCCCAGCCCTGGCAGAGCACCATCGCTCCCTGCAAAATGGCATGCTTGATTTTCAGCCAGAACATGTTGTGCTTCAGTGCTGTCAGTGAAAAGCTCTTTGTAATAGCCAGACCAGTTTTAGGGCCTTTGGCAAATCATTCATGCTTTCCACATTGAGATCGAGGGATTTGATGCCTTTAAGGCTCTGCAGGAGGTTGCTGCTGTTCTGTTAAACTACTTCTCCAGGCTGCTTCTCCCACATACTCATTTTCACTCTCTTTTAACAATTCTCTGCAGAGGGTTTCCCCCACCTCCTCATTCCTGTCCCTCTGGCAGACCCATCAGCATCTCCAAACTGTCCAAACACTTCTGTTCCTCATCCTGATGATAACTTAACCTGAACTGTCATCTGATAACCCAAGTATTTTCTGTATTCACACAGGAGTGTTCAGACTACCTTGTCTCTCTGATGGGAGGTCTCTTCTTCTGGGCTGTGTTGAGGACCCAGCTTCTCTTATGTTAATACCTTAACATCTGTTTCTGCAACTAAGCTGGGTGTTGTGCTTGTACAGTGTCTGCAGGAGGTAGTGTATTACTTCCAGGAATGGGTAGAAGCAAATCTATGAGCGGTGGTGTTATTTACCTGCCTTTTTCTGGATTGCCATTTTTTTTTTCTTTAATCAAAGAAACGGGCAGTCTTCACTTTTCTGGAGTGAGGCAAACCCCCATTACAAAATAAGCTCTCTTAGCTGCATGAATAGCAGTAAGTGTCTGCACTAGGGCAGCTGGTGTTGGGAGAAGAGCTGCTCAGAGAAGATGAACTTAAGCTGCCCCAATGTGAGGCTGCTGCCCCTTGCACTACCTCTTGGTTGCTGCATGCTGGTGAGGTTTGAATGTGTCCACAGGGCTGCGTCCTGGCATCACAGCTCTGGAGAAGAGAGTGATGTGCTGTGGGTGCCAGTGTGGTGCACTTTGCGATGCTGAGACCACAGTGACTGACGTCCCTCTCTTGGGTTAGGTTTCAGAGAGGCGTAGCTATGTTGCAGTGGACATTAAAGGATTAACATGTTATAAACATGACTCCTTTGCCTTGGTGCTTGCTAGCTGTAATTTTGTGGGAGTTCCCTCACTGGTGAACCCACGTGAGCATGGCCTGTTGGCTGGCTCACCACTGCATGCAGCACTGACCAGGGCGGCTGCAGCGGGGAAGGCCAAGCAGCCACTTCACGCAGGGTGCTGTTGGACAGCACTCCTGCCTTGGCAGCAGCTCTGCCCCACTCCAGTGCTGAGTTACCCTTTGTGTTAGGCAGCGTCTTGCATCCAGAAGTCTCAGCATGGTCTGTAAATGCTTCTTGCTTTCAGTCTCACAGCAGTACAGGAGGAGGGATTTTTTTCTCCAGTTTTATCAAGGAGGCAACTACTCTCTGAAGCCCAAAGTCTTTGACTTGGCCAGGGAAAAGCACAGGAAAAGGGCAGGAGTAGAAAAAAAACGTTTCCCTCTTAGCCTTCCTTTGTTGTCTGTATGGAATCATTTGTGTAGTTTTAATAGCCACTCGTAGACATACGGTCCATCAAGTGTTTTATTTAATCCGTGCTCCTGATCTCCATAACGTGATGCAGTGCTGAATGCTGTGGTTCAGGTCTGTGCCGTGTGAAGAAGAGCTTCCTTTCCTCTGTGTTAAATTTGTGATGTGATATCACAAATTGCATCCTTTGCTTGGAAACTGTGAAACGTAGCACTTAGAGGTCCCTTACTTGTGTAGCTTCAGCAGAGCCAGTGATGCAGTACATCTGGTATTGCATGGAGTTACCAAAAGGAACTTGAGAAGCTGCTTTAATTAAATTTGTTAATGACAGCTTACATGTCCATAGCATCAGAGCATTGGGAATGGTTATGTAGAGCGCTGTCTTACTACAGTCTTGACTGTCCCACGTGAAAGGACTATACTTGAGTTTTTGGCAGGAAAACCAAGGCTCAGAGGTGATTACTTGTGAGGCACAGAGACCCTTTGGCAAAGGCAAGGAAGGAGGCTATAAGTCTTCCTTCAAAATCTTTTGCTCGGTCCCTGAGATGATGTACCCAATTGGTGTAAATTAAGTTGTGTAAATTTTGTCACAGCTTATAGAACTGAACAAAAGTGTTGAGGTAATTACTGCTTACCCTCAGGTCTTCTGTACAGACACAGTTTGTCATTTATCTGTCTGAAGGTCCTGGTGTCTGTATTCTGTTCATGTATCTGCTTTTCCAGTGCAAATATGCCTGATCTACAGCTTTCACATGACACATAAGAAAGTATCAGGGTTCTTGCAGTGGCTAAATGAAATATGAGATCCCTGCCAGACTGGGATTTGAAATCCCCAAATTTGAAATATGAGATCCCAGCTGGAAATAAAATGGCAATACTCTGGGATCTCCAAACAATCTGCCCTAGATCTAAATCATTAATCTGTCCCCTGAGCACAGGGAGCTGACAGTTGCATTCTCCAAATGAATTAATGTCAAAGTATTGCAGAAATGTTCTCCAAAACTGCATTTTTGAAAATGGGAACTTTTCAAGTGCAGCCACTTGACCTCCTACAGCTGCTTTTCTTCCCACTAATTCTGCAGTTGCCTGAGCTGCTGTGTAGCCATGTAATCATTGGCTATAATCATCAGAATTTCAAAGTATTTCAAGACACTATTACCTCCCAGAAGATTATCTTGCAATCCAGTTGCTTCTTATTTTGTTAATCTGATTTAGCACTCATAATCATTTCTCATTGGAAATGTTTTGAATTTTCATTTCCGTGATCTTCTGTGGTGTTTACAGTACGTGAGATGTCATAGAAGAATAGTATAATAATTAATAGGTATAAAAAAATGTGTATGCATTGCAATTTACTCTTAAAAGAGAATCTCTGGACTTCCTAACTGACAAGTTTTCAAATCTGGAAAGACAGTCTTTGTCATGTAGTGCAGAATTGGAGAAAGTAGTCAAAAGAAGTGTGCAACAATACTTTGAGCTTTGGTGGAGTTCGGGTTAACTAAGTTTGTAGGATCTTACAAGAAACTAAAATCAATTTGGAAACTTGTCAGTCTTGAGCAGAAAAGGAACGCTTGCCCTCAGGAGCCTGACTTGATAGGCAAAGGGGAAAGGCAGAGGTGATCTGTTTTTTCTCATACCCTGTGGTACTTGGTCATGTTTTCTCGTCTCTCTTATTTGTCTAACACCGCTTGCTCATTTACCTAAGTGCAAAGTCAGGCAGACTAAGCAGTAGTCTGCTTTACAAGTACTTGAGAAGGCTGGACCAAAGGGGGCTTTTAGCATGCAGGCCGATGAGAAGATGGGGCCCATGGGGAGTTACTTTACAGGGGGAGAATTGCACATGCCTTTTCTAAAGGGATATGTAGACATCCAAACTTGTCAGTATGTGCTCTTGTAGCATCCCTGTCTTCAGCCGATGGATTGCCATTGTATCATAAACACTGGCCCCAGCTTTTCCACCCAAGTACAGAAGAGATACAGATACGTGCACCTGTACAAGCTTCTCCAGTTCTCATCCGTGGCACAGGCATGCTTATCTGCATCACCTTGTGCAATAGGTGATTTAGGAGAGAAACAGGTGGTTCTTCCACTCTTCACAGGTGGGTAAAGCATGGTCCTGTGCATAGCAGCAGAGTAGCAAAGGAAGCCCTACATGCTTTTGAGTGTCAAGGCTTGAGTTTGGCTCAGGTGCGCTCTGTCTCGGGGAGAACAGCAGAGAGCACAGCAAGGTTACACTGAGCAGAGGGGGCAGATGAAAGCATGAGCAGCTTGGACTGGAAACGAGGAGTAAAACTAATGAACAAAGAGTGCGTCCTTCCTACTAAGCACCCTGGCGTGGGGGTGATGCCTATATGAAGCAGACTTAAGGATAATTAAAGGCTCTGATAAAAGGGGTAAAAAATTCTCTGACATCTAGCCTCTAAAACATGATTGCGTATATTGAAGTGTTTACTGGAGAAAAGAGACTTCTAGGACTGGGTGGGAAGAGTTTTTGACTGTGTGGAAAGGCGTAAAGGTTGTAAATTGAAACACCACAACTATTATTTGTTGTGTTGGACATTGGCAACAGCTGAATTAAATCCTCTTGGATTAATTACTGCAAATTGAGGAACTCATTTTGGCTTCTCATTTAGACTTTTATTGTGACAAAGCTCTATTAGCACCCAGCATAATGAGCTGTAAGATAATGTCAAAATTGTAGAAATTAATAAACGTAAAAATAAGTTTGTTTAATTATGTGACTAGCTTATAAGGAAGATTGTGTTAATTTGGGCATGGCCTGTAAGGTTGGTTATTTAAGAAATGAGAATGCTCTAACATTAAAGGCTTTAATTTATGTGTTATGAGCTTTTTAAATTCTGTTAAGTGAGTGTCTGTAAACAAATATTCAAGAACTTTGCTTGCAAAAATGGAGACAAATTCACAGTGTTACACATTCTTGGCAGGTTTTTTTTGGGGGGAGGGAATCTGTCTGTGTGCAAATTACAGTGTGAATTAGTGGCAACTGCAGAACTATTTGCCCGTATACATGTGGTCAGAGCAAAAATCTTGTCCTTTTTCTTTGCTTATGGGGTGAAATTATGCATGCAGGTGGCAAACACAACACATTCACTGTGCTGTGGTAGGTACCTTTACACCCTGCTTTACCTGCAGGGTGTTTGTGTGTCTGCATCCAGAAAGAGCTAGTTCTCAGAGGACTGAAAGGGAACTTGGTAGCTCCCTTCAGTTGTTTTCTGCCAGAGGCATTGACAAATCTGCTAGATTCTACTCCATGGGGAGTGGCTATTGGTTTCTGCATAAGGTGATGTTTGTATTTTTATTAAAATCTAAGGTAGTTTCTAAATTGTGAAAGTACCACACTCAGCATTCGTTTTATTTAAAGCCTGATGTTCACCATGGCAACTGACCAAAATCTGATCTAATTCATTGTCTTTTAATTCAGCTTCAAGGAAACCTGGGTTTTTTTAGTGATGAATTTGTCCTTCAAGTGGGCTTTTGGATTGTGGGCAAGGTGAAGACCCCATATGTAATGGCAGGATGGCTCTGCATCATCTTGGGAGCTGGGTCACCAAGTTGTGGGGTGAGATCAGGCCTTTGGCAGAGAAGGGAGCAAGAGGACAGTTGCTGTGACTTTGAATTTTGAATATGCCTGTTGATCCCCTCCTTGGAGCAAGCTTGCCTCAGCCAACTGCCAGTCTTAAGAATGGAAAAATAACCTTGAAATACAGGTGTTGCTTTGACGTTTTGCAGGTAGATCAATATCCCAGCTGACTGCAGGGTTTCTCTTGTGAAGATCTGGCCCTTGTTCAGTGTGCTCAACTTTCCCTTTTCAGTTGCTTGCAAATCTGTCTCTGCCTGTGGGGTCATGTTGTCAATCATTAAACTAATTTCATTTATACTCTGTACACCCCAAAATTTCTCATTGGACTATTGCAAACTGTGGAATAACATGAGAATTTTCTTTCAGTTACATAGGGGACTGTGAGATTCACATGGACATATCGAAATTTAATCTTGGAGTGAAAGGCGTACAGGTACGTGCAGTGTTAACGTTGTCTGTTTGAGGGTCTGTGTGTGGCAGGAGGTAGCATGTCCCAGTGGGGCGGTCATGACACTTAACTGGGAAACCACCAACTAGCAGACTTGGCATGATTGGCTTTATCTCCTTGCGTTTTGGCTGGGGAAATGATGCCTTCCATGGGAAGCACCTAAATACCACTTTTAAGCTTCTTAGTGTGACTCTTAAAGAGGGTCAGTGCTAGAGCATCAAGCTCGTGTGGACCAGCTTCTGCCACTGGAGTTCAGAGGAACTGCATGTTGGTAGAGAACTTCAAAAGAGCCAGTTCTGCCAGGGTGTTCATAAACTGGTGTAGGTTAGACCAACAACCTTACAATGTCGAAAGCTAATAGGCTTGATCACTCCATTGTATGACAGTCAGGATTGCAGAGAGACTCCACAAACTTAGAAAACATTGCCTGATATCAATAGCAATGGTTTGGGGGGGAGAAAGTTATTGTTGTAATTAAATTCTAAATAAAATGACTTCATGTAGGATTTTTAAAATTATCTTCATCACTGAAAAGCTCACAGTTTTGAAACTGCATCCTGAGAGTACCTTCAGACTCAGTTTTCCTTGCTCTGTTCTGTTTACAGTTGTATGGGACGTTGCGCGTGATACTGGAGCCTCTTCTAACCGATGCACCTTTTATTGGAGCGGTGACTTTGTTTTTTATGCAGAAACCGGTGAGTCAGTAGTGAACTGTACTCTGCAGCCTCCTTGCTTCTTGATCTGTCTTAATGCATGGATAGGTCTTCAGTGAGTGACACAAGCTGTCCATCACCGGTAACCCAAACTGCCTAACTGTGAATGCCTCACAGTGCAGGTGTTTGAATAGCAAATTCCTGATTGTTCAATGCTCCTCTTGAATTCCAAGAGGACAGGAATGAATTTGTCCTATTCTTTCGTAGTAGTGCCTAAAAAGTTACTTGCTTCACTCTAAGAATGGGAGGACTTTCCGATGGTGACAGCACAGGAGCCGTTTCCTAGGCCTTTGCTGCGAGGTTCCTGGCAGGTGGATTTTAGATCTTCCCATTCGTAGATTTTAACTGCAGTCATCTTGGGGACCATTCAGTCATGGTGGTGCTTTGAAAGCTTGCCTGTTTAAGGTCACGTGACTTGTAGTTGAATTGTAGTTTAATAAAATACGAGAAACTTTCTAGTCTTGTAAGAACCAGTTATCTTATAGCACACAGCTTTGCTTGCTTGTGGGTTATCCTCTGCTTGAGTTCATGGAAGTCATACATTTTTTTGATCTTGGATGAGGTGTTTTTGTGTTTAGATGTAGTAGCATTATTTTAGCACATGGAAAAAAAAATGTTTATTGTGTGACTAGAAATACAGACTCCTGAAGTCGGGTGGTGTTTGTAAATACCCCTGCCTCAGGGCACAGGCCAACCCCTAAGTGAAAGGATGAGGAAACAACTTCAAAGTCTAAGTAGAGCTGTTGGATTTACTACACATGACCCCAGGGCATCTGCCAGTGGCCATTGCTAGGGGATGAACGCTGTGTTTCCCTGTGCTTGCAGGGTAAGTCCCAGTGATACCCTTGTTTCTGGCACAGCAGATAAAATAGATAAGGGAATTGCTACCAGCTGTTGGTTTTAATGTATAGGTTTTGCTTTCTTTAAACAGCTGGCTTTGTTTTAGAAGCATTTGCTTCCCCTTTAAATTCTACCTTTGTTCTGAAATAAATTTTAATGGTCCTGTATCATTTTTCTCCCTGATCTTGTTGTAGCACTTGGAAATCAACTGGGCGGGCATGAGCAACCTCCTGGATGTCCCAGGGATTAAGTGAGTGTCTGTTTTGCTTCACTTTATTCTTCTTTAAAAAGCCTTTGGAATTTGGGATGGCTTTCTCCAGTAATCATCAAAGTTATTCTCAAGAGTGGTGTGTAAAAGGTGTTACACTTTATATGCCATCATATCTGGCTGTGGAGTTTGCAAAACCCAAGGAGGGTGCTTTTTACATTCTGCCAAAATTGCTTCAATCACTTCATTGCGTTTGGGACTTAGGATGGAAATAGTAAATCCCCAAAACTACAATCATCTATAAAGTAAAAAATAAGCCCTTCTGTTTCCCGTGTGCCAGTTACTTATAAAGGTGGGTGAGCAGACCTAGGTGACAGGCAGTCTGTGCTTATGTTTATTTACCTTAAAGTGAAAAAAGACTAGGTATCACAGAGTTGCAGTCCCTCTGACGAACTGAAATACAATCCATGATAAAGAAAACTGCACCAGATTTATAAGGAGAAATGTTGTTCTCTTTCTGTGTCATCTGCTCACCCTTTAGGTTCTTCAGAAAATGTAACTCTTCCCCAATGCCTCTTGGGTTGATCTTGTACATAAAACTTGCACAGCAAGGATGAAAATCTTAGCAGTTTTCAGTACTGTAAGTTTCAAACTGTTTCTCCAGATTGGAAATTCACTTTGTCCTTGTTCCTTAGTGTAAGGAGAAAATTCTGTTCCACAAGAACAAAATATATTTGGTTATTCAGCCATTGCCTTTCTCCCTTTAAATGCAAATGCAGACACTTCTGTTCCCCTCTTCCCCTGCAGCTCATGGTTTGCAGAGACACAGGAGGTGGCTGGCTACTTTAGGTGCTAGTTTATGCATTAAAGGGCCTCTGAAGACCTTTGATGTTGAGAGAGAGGAAGCTTTCTTTTTCTCTTAATTTAAGGCCAGAGTGGCCTTTTGCCCTGAAGTTTGCCCTGAGAGCTCCAGTTTTTATCAGAGGAATTAATCTGTTCTTTTCTAATGTGGCTTCCTTAATCCTTGCAGGGAGAAGGTATGTAGGTGTTCCAACCTACAGCCTCTCATATAATTAAGTGCAAATTTGGTGTCCTAAATTTTCACTCCCTGGTTCTCTCACAGGGATTTGAACACAGAAACCCTTGCTTGTTCATCAGCACTGCACATGAAAGCCGGGAGCAAAACATGCCTGACCGTGAATAGGCTGAAGTACAGGTTGAACAAGAGCTCTCCCTTTCAAATGAATTGGGCTTACTTAAGAGAGTAAAGAAACTGGATGCATCGTCTGTCCTCGTGTACAAGCTGTGTTTAGTTGGGTGTACCCTGAGACTCGAGAGAAGGGACAATTCTGTGGCCTTCCTGTGGGGTTTTTTTGACAGGAAAGCCAACAGCCTGACCAAGGGCTTTCAGGCTCCTGATTTCACATTTGGAGTAGGAGAGGACTTTCCTTCTGTGTGAATCCAGCCTCATCTGTGAACTATGACAATTTTATTGCACAGTCTTACCCTGAGAAGCTGCCTTATAAGCACTAGATTTATCAAGAGGATGAAAGTCTTTCAGATGTTCGGTGCTCTTGGGTTTTCCTCTTAATATTGTCTTCTGCTCATGCCGAGTTGTAGTAGTATGTTGAAATCCTCTCATTAATCACCTGGAGAGTACCGGACATCTGTGATAGCTATATACTTCTTGCTCAGGAGCAATAGGTCAAATTAGTTGTCCCCGCCGTACAAATAGAGCAATTCTAAAGAATAGATTTAAGCTAAAAATGTGTAAGTTTTAATTAGACTGGAAAGTTCCCTAAGCTCCAAGACAGACAGTACCCTCAATTCAGCCAGTGTGATCTCCTGTGTGCGCCAAAGGTCCAGTTACTTCAAACAAAATTTTCCTTCTTAGTGCAAAATATACCAAGATACAGAATCTCATGTTTTGCTTGGTCTTCTATTTAAAAAAAAAAAAAAAGCCAAACTTGTTTTGAATGTGGCTGCCTTCTCTGTCCATTTTACAGTAAGGTTTCAGCATGTGGCCAAGAGCAGACAGCAGTGTGCGCTGAGGCCATGTTCTAAGTCTAAAAACAAACTACCTTGAGGTCTTGAGCCCCCCGTGAATGCTGAAAATTCCTGATTCTCTCCTCACCTTGTCCATCTCTGGTGTCGGCATTTCCAAGGAAACACAAAAGGCACATGAGCGTTTGTCTTGTTTGGGTGCATGACGATCTCATCGTGTGGCCTAAGCTCCCATTCATCATTTACAACCTGCTAGAGCCAAATTCACATCCAGCCCTAGTAACCCTAGACTGGAACATCCCTGCGTGCAAGTGGGCACTTGTACCATGTGTGCCACAAGGCAATGGCAATTATGTGCAGAATGATAGGGAATAAGATTGAAAGGGATCTTGAGAGGCTGCCCCATGCTCATATTCTCCTCTGCAGCAGCTCAACTGCATGCAAATTATTGATAGGAGACAGCCTAACCTTCCACGGTGATCCACATCCACCCTTGGTGATTGGTTCCGGTTCTCTTCATTGCTGTTCTCTCCATTGCCTCTTATTCAAGCTAAATGTCACAAGCATGAGTTTCTTCTGTCCATGTGCAGTTGTACGTAGGCACTTTTTCATAGAACAATAGAATCATTTAGGTTGGAAAAGACCCTTAAGATCATAGAGTCCAACCATAAACCTAACGCTGCCAAGTCTACAACTAAACCATGTCCTTAAGTGCCACGTCTACACGTCTTTTAAATACCCCCAGGGATGGCGACTCAACCACTTCCCTGGGCAGCCTGTTCCAATGCTTGATAACTCTTTGGGGGAAGGTAGGCAGTATCACTCATTTCACAGTGGCCATTTCTTTCACTGTGCCTCATTCTTTCATTCTAACTGAAATTGTGATTGACTGTAGAGATTTAGGTTGCCTTTTTTTACCCCCACCTGTAGTGTAATGTCAGACTCGCTAATTCAAGACTTCATTGCTGCACGGCTGGTTCTACCGAACAGGATCACAGTGCCTTTGAAAAAGAACATGAACATTGCCCACTTGAGGTTCCCTATCCCGCATGTGAGTGTTTTGGTTTTGTTTTTTTTTCAGTGAGGGTGTAAATCTACGTGAGTGTGCATTTGCCGCAATGTGGATGCATACAAGCTTAGTGTCTTAGGTTCCCGCATCAGCTGTTTCAACCTGGATTGTAGGCTTTCTGTAGGTAATATTTCAGAAATATAAAAGCAGATGTTGGATAGTTCATAACTGGGGGGGGCGCTGGGGAGTCCTACCCTCTATACATGGCATAAGAAGTCTGTTTAGACACTGAGCTCATTTACCAATTTAAACTTTTAGTCTCATTTGAGAATACCACAGATCTGCAGTTAGAGAAAGTAAATACATGAGCAATGAGTGTCAGGCTACTTAATTTTTTTTACTGATGCTGTGAAGGGGTGTAAATAGGGAGCTCAGAGCGTGACATCTGTTTGTTACAAAAAAAAATCAGGGAGAAAAACCCCAACAACAAATCTCCTAAATGCTTGACGTATCCAGATCTTCATTTGATGATCTTCATCCATCAAATACTTAATACGCTCATTAATGAGGGTAAATATAAATGAATGACAAAGGGATGCTCCGTATTGCAAACTTGCATCACCAAATTGAAGTTGAATGGCCACTCTGCAATAAAATACGAACCTGCCAATAGGCGCTTAGTTCCTCCTTCAGTCAGTGGGAATTGATCTTTACTCTACCCTTGATTTGACTGTGGCTGTAATCCTGTGTGTATACATATGTTTCTGATTTAAAAATGAAGAATATTTCCTACCCAATGATCTAGATTGGATTGTGTATCTCTTTAAGGCTTTTTTTTCCTCTAGGTAATTGGTAGAAAAAGTGTTTTAATACAGCTGTCATTGGAAATATACTGCATCAAAATACATGTCTTTGCAAAACTGTCATGGTGACTACCCTTGCTGCCTGAAATAACTAGTTTTAGGAGGTAGCGTATTATAATTATCCAAAGATCACATTTTCGTGACCAATTTTGTATCTTATTTTATTCAGGGAGTAATAAGGGTTCATCTACTAGAAGCTGAAAACCTTGTCCAGAAAGACAGTTTCCTCGGTGCAATCAGGGGGAAGTCTGACCCGTATGCTCTTCTTCGTGTTGGCACGGTGCAGTATCGAAGCAAGACAGTTTCCCGAGATCTTAATCCCATTTGGAATGAGACATTTGAGGTACTGAATCTTTTGATCTTTCCATCTGTAGGATGCACAGCCGTTTACATCCTTGTGCTTGGAGGACCTTCTCTTAGCTGACTGCACTGGAGCAGGTGGACTTCCTTGTTACTTGATTGAGGCATTTCTGTCCCTTAAACAAGTTAAAATTTACATTGCAGACTTGAAATGTCATTCAGGTTGATCTGATTTACATATGTGGGTTTTTGGAGGAGGTGCAAAGCACTGCTTTAAATATCAATCAGTGCTGCAGTCTGTGCAGCTGTAGTCTGCTCTAGCATTGATTATTCTCTGCTTATTAGGGATACCAGTTTGAGGGGTTTAGCTTGTAGTTCAAAAACAAGCAAACAGGTTTTGAAATATTTTCACCTATAATCACTTGTATTTGTTACACAATTAACTGTGAAACAGCAGGGAATGTCCTTAATTTGTTATACAGCTGTGAAGTGTCATGTTCTTGTCCACAGTCTGAGCCTATATGAACCTATGTGAATGCTTTTTATTTTTAATCAATACCTCTTTCTCCTCCAGTTTGTTGTTCATGAAGTGCCTGGTCAGGACTTAGAAGTGGACTTGTACGATGAAGATCCAGATAAAGATGACTTTATGGGCAGGTAAATTAGCATGGCCCTTGCTCGGGGTCCAGTAACCTCTGCAACGGGACACCCAGGTTATTCATACTGGAAATTTAATATTGAAGGAAGCAATTCCATTTGTCCAGATATTGATATCAAGTTACTAGTTCCTAGTGCAAATAACTTTGAACAAGATAGAGAATGGTCCCAGACTCCTGCAGGGAATCCTGGGAAGCCATTAGAAGTGATAGTTACTACACGACTCGAGACTTACTTCAAATTTATTTTAGTTTTGGAAGTATTTCAAGGGGGAGACTTCAGAAGTGTAAGTGCGTTCCAGCACACACGCACACAGGTAATGTGGAGAAGTTGTTATTTGGAACAGATTTGAGTGTGGGCTTTTTTGGTGGTGGTCTCTTCTCCCCCTAACAGCAGTATGCTGTATGCCTAACTATACACTAAAATGTTTGCTTTTTGTCTTTCAGCTTGCTTATAAGCCTAGTTGATGTAATGAATGACAGAACTGTTGATGAGGTAAAGACCGCAGCTTATTTCTAAATGTGGTTGGTGGTGTATGCTTACATGTACTCCTTTGTGCTCTCCCTCTGCTACTACATTGTTTCTGTGTGCTTAAAGCTTCCTTGCACACTTGCACTGTGGTATTTTCGCAAAAAGAAAATACCTTCATTCAGGAAACTTCAAGTAGCCATTACAATAATTTTTTAATCAAGCTGGCAACCTCAGACAGCCCTGAGGTTGCACTGAGCCAGCAGTAGGGTATCTTGTGTTGATATCTCATGTCCTGTATGTACAAAATGTTTTGCACAAGGCTACAGATAGAGTTTGGTGAAGCAGTCTGATTGCTGAGGGAAGAAATGATCCGATCTTGCTGTGGTTCATCCTGCAACCCAGCACTCTGCAAACAGTGCAAGGGTGCCTGTCTTGTGCTGCTGCTGGTTGGAAATATCCATGTGTTTTGCATGTATATGGTTATCTTATTTTCATTTTTTCTGGCTTGTGTTTCTAAGTAGATGGACATGCTACAATCTAAGTGTCAAAAATGCAAGCTAAGGCGCTCAAAGTACAATTCATGTCATCTATTGTACATAAGTCTCGGAGACTGCAACATATATAAAAATTATTCTGCCTCATAGTACTCAAGTTACTCTTTTGTTGTCTCCATTTAGTGGTTTCCCTTAAGTAAGACAACAAGCGGACACTTGCATTTAAAACTGGAGTGGCTTTCACTAGTAAATGACCAAGAAAAGCTACATGAGGTGAGTATATTTGCTTAAAGGATTCAGATAGTCTGATCCCTGTCCAGTGATCAACAAAGGAGTGTGTAAAATTAGGAACCCCAGGGAAACTCATGGGAGTTTATTTTTGTCTGACAAAGTTTTGGTGTGATTTTCCCCCCCCTCCGCCCCTGCTGAAGAGGAAGAGCATTCGCTTGCCCCAGGTCCCTTGGTAATTCAGGAGTAACTCAAATCTTGCAGCTCTTTTTGCTTGAATTAGCAAAGCTCTGTGTGACTCACTGCAAAGTGGCCTCTCACAGTTCCCTCCTCTGATAATTTTTCCCTTCTCTCTTCATCTAGGGTCTGTGTAGGACCCCTGTCTATAACCTGTACTAGTCATAGACAAATACCCAGCACTGGTGCGTGGTAGGGCCGTGGTTCCAAATGGTGTCTTACTTGTCCAGCAGAATTACTTGGATAAAGTCCATCTCCCAAGGATGCTGTTGCTTCATAGTCAAGCAAAAGCATTTGAGTTCCCCTGAAGTGAATAAAATGTGTTTCCAGGCTTGGAAACAAATCCTGACACTGGATTACTGATCTTGATGTATGTGGTTGAGCATGTTTTTAGGTGTCTTGCTGCACTGGGGAATCCAACCAGTTCTGCACTAGAGAGATTGAAGAGCTTTAAGGCCAGTGAATTGAAAAGACTTACACCTCTTCTTACTGGTCTGCTTAAAACTGTCATGCTGTATTGGCTTGTGCTCCTCTAAATTGCAAGTTTCAGGAGAAAGGTGAAGAGCTGCTTAGCTTTCAGAAACTGTCCTTTGAATTTGTGTTGTGCTTTGCGTTGTCCTTGATGGGTCATCATGCCTACCTTGTGTTTTGTTTTGTTTTATCTTTCCTGGCCTTCACAGGATAAGAAGGGTCTGTATACAGCTATTCTGATTGTCTACTTGGACAGCGCCTTCAACCTTCCAGTAAGTACAAACCACATGCAGGCAGCCTTCACTCCTAACTTTTTTTTTGAAGCCCACAAATTAATTGTTTTTAAATACTTTTTTACTAATTCAGAAAAACCACTTTGAGTATTCGAATGGTGACTGTGGAGCAAAGAAGATCAAAAATAACAAATACCTCAAGGTAAAATTTATATTCTTCTCCCATGCTTGCAAAACAGCATTCTGGATTATGCGGTATCGTAGCAACTGAACCTAGCTGTGGTTAAAAAGAAATAATCTCTCCACCATCAGAATCTAAGCGACCAGGGGTTCAAAATAGTGATTGAAAGCCCACCCCCACCCCAGTGAAAGTCTAAGAGGTCCAAGGGGGAATGCAGCACAGAAATATTTGATCATGTGTGGGGTTGTCTTTATTTTTATTTTGTACTTTGGACAGAGAGCCTCCAGACATCAGACCAAGTCATATTATCCTTTCTGCTGCTGCAGGCGTTCTTTCCACGCTGAGCTGCTCCAGCTTGACCTCCCACATCGGGATGGGAGGAATATGCTTGTTTGTGGTAACCTTCCTGTTTATTGGAGACCTGACCACCAGATTCCTTCCCCCTCAGTTTTAGAGTGATTCAGAAGCCACTCTGGCATTCATGCCTCCTCTCTCTTTGCTTCTGTTTACTTTGCCCCCCCCCCCCCCAAAACAAATACTGCATTTTGCTACTGTGATGTAAATGGTGGGTATAGGGAAGAATGTCTTTCTCCCTTTTTTCTTGAACAAGCTACACACAACCACAGCTTTGAGCAATAGATAGAGCTTCCCATTCTCTCAGAGTAGCTCCCCTCCTAAATGCAGTCTTTACAATTTAGACGAGTTGCCAGCACTGTAATACACATCACATTCGATAATCCTTAATTCTGGACTTCGTTGTATCCACTTTGTATACAACGTTGTGCCAAGACCAGATCCTCAGCCTTTATTTCTATAGCATTAGTGCAGAGAAGCACAGTATGAGAGGTTCAGTATTGCTGCTTCTGGAAAGGAATTGTTACTTGATGCTGAAGACTCACTTCTAGCTGCTTTACAGCAAGTCCTGAGCCTTGGAAACCAGTTCTGAGAGTCTTGTTTCATTCAGGAATGATGAAGACTTCCCACTGAGCCTTCAACTCTTTTCTCTGTTTCCTCCCAGCTTCTGACAAATTTTTAACTGCTCACCTATTGAAACCTAAATATATAAAACTTTGGCTTAAATGTGTACTCTTGATTGTAGAGGGTAAGACTGTGCTGTGTTATGGCTGGAATCTTTCCTGTGTACTGCACTCTTCAGACATCTTGCATCTGAAAACTATTGTCAGCTTTCCAGCAACTTATTTCAAGTAAGAGTAGTGACTTGATATTGCTTCCTGTAAACTACAAATGTCTCATCTTTTTTTTTTTTCTGCTTTCTTTTTTTCCCCTTGTATTAATTGACAGAAGATGGAACGAGAACCTTCCTCCTTTGTCCTGCTCACAGTAGGAAACAAGACTCAGAAAAGCAAGGTGAGGCTGTTTGACTCTTCTGCTTTTCTTGAATCCTTTCTGTTTTATGGGTGACTATCTCCAAGTAGCCCCTTGGGGGTAGCCCTAGGAAGGGTAGGACTAGTGAAGCTGATGTGAAGAGCTATAGTTATGGTGATAGCTGCGGAGGCTGGGAGGTGGGAGTCAACCAGCATGTGGAAGCACTGTCACTGAGTTGTGCTTGATTAGTGGGTGTCTGATCAGCTGCTGTACAGATGTATGTTTTTGTGCTCATGGCCACGAGGTCATATTGGTCAAGACACTCTAGTTCTACAAGGGTTGAAGAGGAAAAAATGATAGGTCTCCAATCTGGCTCATGCTTTCTCAGGGCAGAGTGTCATTTGCATCAAACTGGCATTTGTTCCCTCATCAGAGCCTCCTGGCTCCTGTGTTTCAGTTTTACTGAATTTTTTTTACCTGGACAAGATGTATCCAGATCTCCTCCACTTTGCTTTTGGTTCCTTTTTTATTATTTAATATTTACTTTTGCCTGATGAGTACGAGCAACAGCAGAGTTCTACCCTCCCAGTAGCTGCCGTGTGTATTGCCCCGTAGCTGGATGCGGATGAGGGCAGCCCTATGTTCTTTTGGACACCCAATAAATAGGAATGAAGCCTGTTTGCTACACAGGAGCATACGGGACTGGCACCTATTTTCCTTTGTTTCTTCCACCTGCTCCATCCAGAAATTGGGTTCTGCTTGCATTTTTACCTTTTTTGGCTTTCCCTTTTCCCTACCACATCACCTGCCTCTCCCAAGCTAGGTGAGACTTCCAGCTTTCCCCTGCTCCTTTCCCTTTGCTGCCAGCACTTGTGGCCTGGCAGAAGCAGCTGGTTTACAGAGCAGCCTCAACCACAGCCCCTGCAGGTGCTTTCCATGTTCTTTCATCCTTGAAGTGGGTGGCACTGAAGCTGTGCCCTCCTGCTCTTCCCACGAGCTCTACGCCCCCTCAGACTGCCCCCCTAGCTTTCCTACCCTTCCCCACCAGCTTGCTGCAGCTTTGGGAGCTGGCTCTGGGTGCCTGCAGGCTGGAAGCAGTGCTCTGGCTCCCTGGGTGGAGAGGTGGGAGGGAGGGAGAGGTGCCTCGCTGCAGGTGAGGCAGGCTGCTGGTCCAGGCAGCACTGGTTGGGGCCAACTGCAGCTCACCAGACTTGTTCTTCGGCATTTCCACGCCCCACAGAACTTGTTCTGGTTTTGCCAGAGACTTTGCTTCTGCATGCTCCTGACCTGGAAATTTCACTCTCTCCATAGAGCTGGGGTGTAGCATCACCGAATAAAACAAGAGGGTCACCGTGACCCTCTCTGGTGATCGGCGTCATGGTATTCTTTGCTGCTTACAGAATGAGCTAACATATATGCCACAATCTTCTTGTTGCAGACCTGCAATTTCAGCAAAGATCCCACGTGGGGCCAGGCTTTCACCTTCTTTGTCCACAGTGCTCATTCCCAGTCACTCCATGTTGAGGTGAGAGAAAAGCCTTTCCTTTGAAGACCGAGTGCATATCCGTAGGAAGAAGACACCTCTTTTATGGTGGATGTGATCTCAGTGCTCGTTGTTTCTGTGTGCTTGTACTGAGGTCCTCCTACTTAAAAGGTGGAAGAAGCACCTGTTGTTGCACAGGCGATTCTCTGGTAGATGATGCTGGTATCTACCTTTGCTCTAGGATCATGTAACGCATAATATCTTAGTTCAAAACATGGGACGTTTCTGGCTGCAAAGTGGAAAGGAGGTTTTATACAGGTCTGTGTGTAGTAAAGCCATGAATATTTTGCTGTCAGAAATCGCAGCCTTCATAATTCTCAACCAGAGTCCTATCTCTTCACCTTGGTATTTTGGCTCGTTAAGAAATCCTGTATCTCACTAGCATACATTGCAGTCACAGCCAATTCTATGGCTGTTCACTTGGCTAGAGAAGTGGATTTGAACTTAGAAGGTGTATTGAGGTTAAATAGGCTAAACAAACTTACCTAAAAAGCTTGTAAAGGTTTAGACCAGTTGTCATCCCAGCTGCCTGGGACATTTTCCCCAGAGCAAGTAAGGAAAGTCAAGTAAATCCTAGGGCCTAGTTTTTCTGCTAAGGCAGTTCCTTCTCTGCATAGTTAGAGACGGGATTTTTACTCCAAACATACTAATTTGTTACACTCCTGAAATATTGGCATCACCCATTTGGAAGTAACCATAGTTGATAGTATGTCCTGAAGTAAATAAGCTGATTTTGCTCTCTGTCTGAAATACCTTCTTACTTTGCTGTTCCCAGTGGTATGCTTTCCAGTTTGCCATCTAATAAAAACTTTGCCCCCCTCCCCAGATAAAAGACAAGGATCGGGATAGTGCCCTGGGAACTTCAGTGGTATGTCTCTCCCACTTACTTAAGGACCCAAGCATGACCCTGGATCAGAGATTTCAGCTGGATCATTCCAGTTCAGACAGCTTCATTAAGATGAAACTTGTGTTGCGGGTAAGTTGTTCTTTGCCATATTCACTCGGCTTCCCCAGCGGAAGCATCCATTCTAACCAGGCAAAAGAGATGAAAGGTGGGTGTGGAGAAATGCAGCTTCGCTTCACAGATGAGTAGAAAGTAGAAGTGTGACAAGGTCTTTAAGTGCACTTAAGAGTGAATGGTGGAGCTGAGAGGTATCCCTGAGGCTTCCTAAAACTTAGTGCAGTGCCATTGCTGGAAACCCTCTCGTGACAATAAAGAGTTGGACTGAGAAAATCTAAGCTGGGGAAATCAAAGCTGCTAAACAGTAAGAGACCGATGCTTAGGAATTGTTTTCTCATCGTGCTCTGGATCAGTGTTTAGACATTGTTAAATACATACAGAGTAGGACAAGGGAGGAGAACATCACAGCTAATGCCATAGGCCTCTTTCATCTCTAATGGCAGATTTCTGCTGTTAGAGTTTTGTGGCAAAATTTCATCCTAGGTGGTAATGCTGGCATTAACCCCAGTGCTTTGGGAGCAGCACTCATTTCTCTCCCTGGTGATTTTTAGGCCCTGAATGTTGAAGAACCCGATCCACAAAGCGTCAAGGCTGGTGTCAGTGCCTCAAAGCAAGGTCCTGTGCGTGTCGTGGAGAAGGGTGGAAACCAGCAAAAGTCTGTCTCCCCACCAAAACCAGAAGACTCAAAGGTACCTCCTGTGAGCAAAGACTCTGCAGCACTTGAATCCCTGCTGAAAAAGGACAGCAGAGAAGACCTGGACACAAATGACAATTCAGCAGCACCTGTACCGAGTGAAACTGTTGCTGGCCTTAATGAGGCAGAGCATGAACAAAATCCAGAGCATCGCCCATCATCAGCGTTGCATACCAGAGCAGCGGTAGTGCCCACGTTGCCAGTCGTACAGGAACTGAGGCTTGCACCCAGTGTTGCTTCGCTGGGTTCTCTGCCTTCTTCTTGCTTTGAATTAAGTAGCAGCAATCTGGACCTTCATAAGTAGGTGTTCTTCCAGCTGAATTGTTCTTCTCTTGGGAAGGTTTAGGTTTTATAGGTCGCTGTTGCATATGGTTGAATTCAAGACTGCTAAGTCATTTGGAGTCTTGGGTCTCAAATCACCTTACGAAGAATTGACCTAAGTATTCCAGTCAACAGCCAAGTAAATTACAGGGTCACTATCACATCAGGTGTAAAGTGAAAGCATTTCCTTCTCTGGCTCTCCTAAGAGGTGCTGCATGTGTTGGCTTTATGTTGTTTAAGAGCCTCTCACAGAATATCCTGGCTCCCATAACACTCATGATTTTAGCAACAGGATATTGCAAATCTGAATATCCCACTTCTGTAAAAACATAAACTCTTGATAAGCATATCTGGCTGCTTAAAATTTTGGATGTTGTGTTTTATCCAACAAATTGTAAGACTCTCATAATGCTGTGAACAAAGTTTTTGTGGATAAGTGTGCTTGTGCTTCCCACAAGTGCTAAGTATGAGGCTGCAGGTACTCTGCTCCGTCAAGGAGGACAAAGAGCCGGATCTGTCTCTCCTGGGGCGCAGAATGGAGCTAGTAGAATCCTTCATGAACTGAAGTAGCAAAGAAGGACCATCTCAATCAGGAGAGCAGTTATCAATCTGAACATCAAACCCAGCTCCAGCTGTTCAATCTAGTACTTCCAGACTGGCAAATTCTCTAGCTCTGAACAGAACCATTTTAAAGCCATTTTTAAGCAATGTTTTGGATTTGTAACCACTTTAATAACATGCAGAATAAGATATAAAAAAGGTCCCATTTTGCATATACAGACATCCTTGAAGGAGCTGTGTAACATGCCAACCTGTACTTAGCTGCTCCATCTACAGCAGGCCAGTTAGGTGCTTTTTTGGCCACTTATGCTGTGGGACTGAAATCGGGTACCTGTACAGAAGGCCGGCTAAGCGGCGCTGGCACTAATGGGAGTGTTGTTTCTGTGGAGCCTCTGTGGTCCAGCTGCTTTCTAGATAGCAAACCTTGGGATGCCAGAAAGAATAGTGCCCTGACCGTTGGTTTTAGTTGAAAACGCATCACCAACTTCTGAAGCTCGCGTCCTGTTTCGTGCTGCTAGGTCTGTGCGTGTGGTCTGTTAAATAGCTGTATTTAAAAGCTTTGACTGTGCAACTGTCTTACAGCGGGACTGAAATGCCTCTGGGAGAGATTCAGCTCACAGTGCGGTATGCCTCCGTAAGGCAGAGTCTCGTCGTGCTGGTGAATGGCTGCAGGTAATGCTTAGGTTTGCTTGCATCTCTCTGTAAAGGAAAGGGGAGGAGCTCTCTGAGCTTGTGTCATTCAGCAAAGCTGGAGCAGAACCACGTGCAGCGCAAACTGCCCAGCTGAGATGCCTTAGCGTTGGCTGGCTTCAATCTATGCAACCTCACTAAGCCCAGGCAGGTGGAAACAGTCAGCTCTGGTCCATGCCAGTAGCAGGTCTGTGAGAGTGGCCAGTGAGCAGTGCTCACCAGCAGGGAGACTTTAACTTTCATCCACCCAAAACTTCCTCGGAACAGCGTTGACAACAGATGCATGTCTTGGCATGTCATGATAGGCATCATGACAAGGATTGACAGCTATGACTGAATGTGTAAATGTTAATTTAGGAACCCCAATAAGTGGCCACACACTCAGTAGTGAAAATTTTGTTTAACTTCACATCCTTAAAGTTGGATTTGCTTACGTTCCGACTCCCAAGATAAATGTTTTTGGCCCATGAACCCATGAAGGGTTGGTCTGACTGTAAGAGACACACACAGTGGGGGAACCTGCCTTGCTTGTCAACACCATTTCTTTTAACAGAAACTTAGTACCCTCTTCCAATCGTGGAGTAGATCCGTATGTTCGTATATACCTGCTTCCAGATAGAAGATGGGCAAGCAGGAAGAAGACTTCTGTTAAGAAAAAGACTCTGAACCCCCAATACGATGAGAAGTAAGAAAATGTTAATTACGATTGCTGCTGAAATAGTTACGATCTCTGTATAATGAAAGGGCTTACATAAGGTATGCTCCTGTTGCGCTGAAGGATTGTCTCATGTGAACATTTGCAGGTCTTCTGAAAAATTGGCACTTGAACTGTGGTTTGCAAGTACTGAGGGCTGGCCTCGCTCTGCCCATGGTGTTGTCTGTCACGCTGTAGGAGGGCACACCTTCTTCCCACCCCCTCCCCTGATCCTGGCAGAGGCGGGCTGCACTTGCTTCTTTGCGCACAGACATTCCCCTACCCATGTTTAACTCCCCATCGTTGCAGGGGCAATCTTTCTGTTTGGGTACCTCACAAAGCCTACTTCTCTGTTCATAATTCTTTGCCCGATGCTTATTCCGACATCTTTCCAAAAGTCGAAGGCAGAAATACAAAGCCTTTTGAGACTGGACTGTTCTTTGGACAGACGGATGGATGTTGCCATTGAGACCTGGTGGGAGCAGGGTAAAATGCTCCCACCTCTTTGCTGACAGTTGGCACATCCGCAGCTTTGCTGCTGAAATGGAATGTGTTTTGTATAAAACCAAACACAGTAACGCTTCAAAAAATCAAGAGATTGTAATGCTTTTTGTTTTGGTTTGGGGGTTTTTTTTTTTGAAGTAATGCTTCAAAATCAAAGACATAGAGCTCTTTTGTGAGGTGGTTTTAATCCCATATTTAGGGGAAGGTACACGCATATGAAAATACGTGAGTATCGGGTGATCTTGGGTAACTCAGTTTTTTTCCTATGTTGGGTCATTTCTGAATGTCAGTATAGGTCAGAAATGGAGAAAAGATTTTAAAATGTTTCATCCTAACATTCAGAACACCGGAGTTGTGGATTTTGCTGCTGCCTATTCTCGTAACGCCACTGATTTCGTGCCAGCACAGCTGTTAGCAGCATCTCTTTTTCCTCGCCCTCAGTATTGACGTGTCCTGTACATCCTCAATTAAGTATAATCGGCTGAGCAATACTTAGCTCCAAAACACATTACCTGTTTTACAACTCTGACTTGAGGAAGAGCTATTCAGGTGGGCAGAACTGAAGTGATTTAGCGTGGACAAAACTCACTCGACATTAGATGATGTGTGCCAGAGGCGTGAGTCAGAGCCATTAGGAATTTAATTGCCACAGGTTTCAACCTCTGTCTCCTCTTCATGTGGTATAAGCTTACTTTGTAAACTTGGGGGGTTGGCTCAGCTATTTCCTCTGAGTAATAAAAGTTGCACGGAAAACATGCTGATCTTCCATGAAGGGGGAAGATGATGGTACGTAGCATTCATCACGGATGCATGCTTTCCTCCTTCCCCCTGGCACGGTGAACAGTCTGAACAACAGTGTCGTCGTCTTTCATGCGGCCCTGAAGAGATTTCTTACAACGTGAATGAAAGCTGCCTCTAGGCTTGCCTTTTCTGTGTCTTCCTTCTCGGCTGAAGTTCTGGCCACTGATGCTGTATTCCGCCACTGCGTTCTGGCCACTGATGCTTATGGGGTTTTAATTTTTGACTTAAGTTTCTCCTTTCAAAACTTTACTTTGTAGGTTTGAATTCTTTGAATCTTTGGAAGACGTCAAGAAAAGGACACTGGACATTGCAGTGAAAAACAGCAGGCCATTCATTTCACAGGAAAGGAAGGAGCTGGGGAAAGTAAGTTTAAAGAAGTTACACTACTGCTTTAATAGAGCTGAGCAGTCTGAGCGATTCCTGTAATCCCCAAGTGCGGTTCTACTAAGTCTCAGTAACAGGACTAGCAATCCGGAAACAACTTTTTCTGCCAGATTTTCATCTGAAATCAGGCTGTATCCAGGTGGAAGCTTGCGTGGTCTCATATGATTCCTGTGCCGTGCCACTTCATTTCAGAAGGGCGCTCCTGAAATAAAAATGTTTCCTGGGATCCGCTGCTGCCCGTTTGGGGAATGGCTCCAGCGGTGCAAACACGAAGCTGAGAAAGATGCATGATTAAGACCCAGAATTTGCCAACGGTGCTTTAAGTTTTCTGTGAACAGCTTTGGTTCTGTGAAAAGTAAACCGGAATCGCTTCTTCAGTGATAGATAAATTTCTGAGTAGTGCTGCTAAGAAACTGAGCGGCAGCGCTGGGGCTGGCTAATGCCCGTGTCCTGGGGAACGCAGGGAGCTCGTTTTCCCTCGAGCCTGAGCTGCAGCCCTAGGACTTGAAAGTGGGTCTGACTGGGGAGGAGTGCTAGCTTAGCTAATCGACTTGTACGCTGGACAACATACAACGAAATAAAATTTGCTTTTTAAAGGTGCGGATTGACTTGTCACGGGAGGACTTAATAAAAGGTTTTGCACAGTGGTAAGTTTTCATCCCCATACTTCCAAACCCTGCTCCTTGCTCTGCTGGGAGTTTGCATGGCTGCTGTCGGAGTGCTGGTAAATGGGCTGTGTATTTTGGTGAGCAAGAAGAATATTTGACCTGCAAGTGCAGGACTAACTTGAACTAATCTGGTCATTTTATCTAAGTTGTATGTTAATCCAGTTGCTAGTGCAATACCTGCCCTGTGAAACAGTTTTAATAAGAGGCCTGTATGTCAATTATAGTCTTCAGCATATTTTAAGTTACCATAAAAGCCACTGGGACACACAAGTAAAATAATTGTTTATTAAAGTAACCTTGCAACAAATTTTAACTTGGATAAAGATCTCAACTAATACTCTGATCAGCAATATATATATATATAAACTTTAATTACAAAGCATTTATAGAAACTATTATAATAAGCCACTTGCAGTTTTGCTTGTATGTTCATTGTGGTTCAGACTTAAACCTTAAGCATTGGTCCGAGGCAAAGATTAAGAACTAGGGGGTGGTTTTTTTTTTCTTTCCCTTCTACGTCTGTAGTTGATGACAGTAGTTCTTCCGTCTGTCTCCTTCAGTGGAGCCCAAGGAATGCAGCGTGGGTAGTCCAGGAGCTTGCCATCCACACAGGCAGTGAGCCAGCGCTGGCCAGTGGGATAGGAAAACCGGGTTCCCCTGGCCCAGCTTGCGTCTGTGCCTCATGTAAGGATAGGGCAATTACGGGAGTAGGAGAAAAATGACGCATCCCGTAAGTTGCCGGTAGAGAGCTGAAGGTTGAGGCCATCTCTGAAGCCTCCTTTGCCATGCCGCCCGTGAAGCACAAGCAATAAAGCAGCCCGAGTTCTCTCTGTTGTGCCAGTTAAAACTTGAAAGAAAGTCTTAAACTACTATAATTACTTACTGTGTCTGTCTTGCAGGTATGAGCTGACAAGGAGCAGACGCAAGAAAAATTGATTTCTTCTCATGTACAGAAGTTACTAATTTTTCAACTTTATATGAATGTACAGATCTCCTGTAATTAATGTGTTTTGAACAGTCACTGCAAATTTGAAGCAGTCTCCAGCTCAGGACATGTAAATTTAATGATCCTACTTAGACTAGTTCTCACTGAAGGAAAACAAACAAACAAAAAAAACACCTTGGGAATAGCTTGTCCCTAGATAGCAAGTCCTTTATTTTTGCTGTTTCTGAATACTCTCTTAAGGCAGTGTCGTACCTGGAGATATTCTAGACTGTCAGCTCAGCGTCATTACTTTGCTTGGCAGTCTCATTTCCCCAGGATCCTATTCCTGTTGCTTTAACATGAAATCAGTGTAGTTTTAAAAGAATAAATTTTTAAACAGCATTCTCCAGCTGTAGGGCTACAGAACCCATTGAAAGAAACTGTTTAGGACTCTAATAGCAACTGTTTGCCGAGAGACTGAGTTGATGTTCTGCTGTTCAAAAGTATCTTAGATTGTGGCTGCAGGTGTGTATATAATGAGCTTCCAAAAGCAGGGAGGTTAGTTTACCAAGATGTCATTAAGGTTTTAGTTCGTGACGCCTTAACGTGTTTTGTTCTTTGTTACAGTACATTTCAAAATCTTGTAAACCTTGACAGTCAAGCATTCTGTCTGAGGAACAGCAGAGTTTTGTAAACTAAGCTTTATTAATATCAGAGCAAAATATACCAAAGTATTTTTGGAAGCTTGGTGTACTTGTTTCTGTACAATAAACTTCTAACTGTCTTGCATAAGAAACTTGATCTATGCCTTTCTAAAACTGCCTTTCAAAATATGACCATGGTAACTTCAAGGCACAAGCCCATAAACCGCCACCTGAAGCAAGGTTTGAACATTTTTGGCCTAGATTACATTAATCAAGTCTGCCTCGGTCCATAACCAGAAAGAATACGCTTCACTCTGTCACCGAATAACAATTTGCTCGCATCCTGAACTTACCTGAAAGTGTAAACAACAGTTTAAAATAGGCTCTCCAGAAAAGCAAGACAGGCAAATGATGAAAGTGTTATGGCTACGGCAGTTAGAGCACCTTTACCTCATACTTACCGTGTCAGCAACATTCAAAATCCTTAGTGGTTGCGGTGTGTCTGGCTTTGTGCTGGGTTCAGTTTCCTAGACCGATACAGTGGGTATCGGTTCTCTCTCCGGGATGGAGTAGACCAGTCAATAGCGGTTATAGTAAGTTTTTCTTAAATTGACCGTGAAACAAGAACTAAGAAAAATGAAAAAATGCAGCAGCTTTTATTTTTTGACGTAAATCTGAAACTGTTGACTAGGGGAACAGAGGCTAGAGGTAGCTGTAATGTCACATCCATCAGCAGGTACATTCACAGGTAAAATACTCCGGTCTTCTCTAGCAAGATTTCACTCTCAGCTAGCTACCAATTTCAAATTTCGCACAGTAGGTAAAATATCATCCAGGTTCCTGATCTCTGAAACAGAACGAAAAGCAAAACGGTAAGGTGTATGTACCTAGAACATCTTCAAGTTCAGCCAAAATTCTAACTTAAATGTTAAAAATACAGCTAGCGAATGAAGTCCTCCCGCCTTCTAATGCTTTTGGAAAAAACTCAATTTAACTTATCTTACAAGTAATACAACTGAATATATGCACCCCCACGTTCAATGAAAACAAAAGTATTTGGGTCACTTCCTGAGGAAAGATGGAAATAAGAGGAGAGCGAGGCAAAAGTTAGCCCGTGCCCTCACATCCTCCTTTGTGTTTTAGCACACCAGGAGCAACCACCACGCTTGTTCGCTATTTAAAGTTTTAGGAGGAAGCACGGGCATGAAGATAATTACAGCTGCTGCAAATATTACTCACCTAGAAGACAGAGCAAGTCTTGAATGAGAGCTTGAAATGGTGGAAAGAAGCACTCGTGTTCTTCTAGCTTATCGATTATACTGAAATGGGCAAGTGAGACCGTCAGATAAAAGGTGCAAGGGCATTTTAAGTTCATCTCCTTGGCTGTTTTGCCATGCTACGTCATGACTTTCTGAAAACACCACTACTTAGCAGTATATAAAGCCATCTACATGAAAAACGTCTTCTCAAGTTCTGAAACCCGCAGCCAACAAGTGTTAGCTGTCAAAAAAGGATCTCTAATTTCACTGTTTACGCCCTATATCCATCCATCCTTTCCTCCTTGCATAGTACCAGGTAATTTTGGGGCTGGAACATTAGTCCGTGTATGCTAAATGTACTGCCTGGGGGTGGCACAAGGAATGTTGTACAAGCAGCCATTCTCTAGTTAAAACTGTGAGGGGTGCAGAAAGGTTGAGGGAGTTCGTGGCGTTCACTCGGCACGTGTCAGACTTGCTGCCTGCTGCAGTTAATTTGTAGTACGTTTGCAGAGCCCGTGCTGAATGCAAGCTCTTACAGTCCGCTACCAAGTACACGTATGTGGTCATCTGTTGAGGATAGAACAAGATTTGTCCAGCTCCCAAAATACTTGTAGGCAGCTTGAGGCATGCGTTCTCTTGGCGACTAACACGCTTCAGTATCACAGCTGACACCTTGCAACACTTTCTCCTCCCCGCCCACGCCCAGTATTTGCTTTGTCTCCTTATGAAACACGCATCCTATTAAGGCTTATTTGATTACCTTATCCATGCAAACCAACAAGGTGTTTTGGAACCTTCTGGCCTTCGTTTTTCTCTTTGCCAGCTTTATCCTTTTGAAAGTATTCAAGGCTTGTTTGATGTGGGATAGTAGTAACTCCTTTACTGTCACAGCTCACTGACTTTGCAACAAATTATTAAAGTTTCTTTCAGTGTCGGTTTTAGCCAGTTCTCTCAGTTACTGAACTCGATGTTTGAAGAATGGTCACCAATGGAACAGCCCCACATACCTGCGGATGTCTTGGGTCCCCAGAAGCTGCTGTACCTGCTCAGTCACGTTCTCGTTAATTATGTCACACAGTTTCCCAACAGTATCCACTACCACGGTGGGTGGAGCTGAACTGTCTGTGGAAAAACAAACACTTCGTGTTTCTTATAACAGTAATAACAGGAAAGTATTTTAGACACCGTCCAATTCTTGCAGGTGCCCAGATTTTATTTGTTTTTCACACATCTAGGCATGCAAGTTCCATCATTCGCAGAAAACAAAGTGCCTACGGTCAGAAATAAACCAATGTCAGCCAGGAACGGTGAATCTCTCACTGATCCTTTAATGGCTAAAAAACTTGTCAGAGCTGTGTATTTTCACAGCGGAGATGGTGCTGAAGTGCACCCTACAATGTCTGTGGAAATCGGCCAACTGAAGTTATAGAGAGAGAGAGGGGGTTATTCGTTAGGTTCCTGTAACGCAGCAGAAGCGCGGTATAGGGGCTAGGCCAACAAGGAACCCGCTCAATAAATACTCTGTTAACAGCCAGAGCTTGTTTCGGTATTGGATTTTACCTGCTTTGACTGCTGCGATTGAAGGTAACAGGCTCCTTGTCCTTTTCTCCCTCAATTTCAGAAGAACTAGGCTTGGAGAAGGCATCCTTTGAGCTCCATTGGTTTGCGATTATTAGGGAGACGCGAGGCTTCCCCATCTCCTGTGCTGGCTGCAGGCAGGAAGACTGCTTCCCTCCTTGAATGAGGCTCAGAAGACCTTAGTAGTCCGGGAGCCTTGCTCTCGGGCTGTACACCCTACAGCGCAGCCAGACCTTTAAACCCCAGAACAGCAGCAGCTGCTGTTCTCCAGAAGTACAAACCAGAAGAGAACAGGTACTGGGAAGTAACTAAGTGTGCCTCCGAGTACCGGCACTTAGTTTTTGACAGTCAGCAACTTCTTTTTTTACGTTTAGCAGCGTAAGAAGGAAGTTTCTGAGGACTGGACATAATGACACTTGAATGAATTACTCAGTAGAAATCTACAGCAAAGGTTGAGTTATTTTTTTTTAAACTTGGTATTTTTCAAGTGGAGAATGAAAGATGGTCAAGAAGAATTATGAAGTCAGCTCACAGGAAACAAAGCTTTGTGGAAAAAAAAGTTTAAAAGATTCAATTTCATCTGTTATTCCTTTCTTCTGCCTCCCTGGTATTCCTCAGCAACTGCTAAAGGCTTACAAAGAATGCGCTTTTGCTATTTAAACTCCCAATTGACAGCAACCTATTTTTATCTTCGCGGTGAAGAATATACCTAGTTTCCTCATTTCTCAGCAGCTCAATGTATTTTCCGTGAAGAGATCAGCCTTTCACTTGCTTTCCTCTTCCTTTGGAAACGCCTGAACAAATGCTAGGTGGTAAGTCTTTACCTAGTTCCAGGAGCTCGTGGAGATTTCTCATAGCGTTGGTCATTTCCCCAAGCTTTGTGTAAACCTCATTCATTCGTGGATAAACGCCATTCAGAGAATTCACGTCAAACAACTTCTGGAAGTGAGAGACTATCGCCAACAGGGTTGGTAAGGGTGGCGTCTGGCTGTCCTGTAGCAAGCAGAAGGAATAACTCGACAACCTTACTGCTTAACAAAGCAAGGATTCTTTTAAACCGCGAAACGGTCTTAAAACTAGTCTATGAAGAAAAACGGGTGTAACTTCCCTTATTAAATCACGGCATTTCAAATATTCTTAAGTCTGAAGATGTATTTTACAGAGAGTTTTCAGACGCAAGTATCCAGCAAACCAAAGATACTCTTTCAAAAGCTTTCTTCTCTGTTGCTCAGTAAGTACGTTTATGTATCCTCAGTGCTGACTGAGAAACAGACAGAACGGGATAATACCTGAGACTACAGGGCAATGCAAAGTCACTGTTGGTCAAAGGACTTTGCTTAAAGCAGTCTTCCCCAGGGTCGATTTATCCATTATGTTAAAACGGTCTTTGACTATTGAATCTCTTCAAACAGCTATTTCTTAAACCCCGCAAGGCTTTCAAATGCGCAAATCTAATCACTGTGTGAAGGACGCGTTTAAGAATTCCATGGTAACTTGTGCCTATAAACCCCTGGTAAGAATTACCTTTTC